CGCTGGAAAGGAAGCCTGAAAACTAGGGAACCGCTCGAGCTGCTTCCACCGGCATATTCCCATCTGCTGGACTCAGATCTTTCCTGGAAACACATCACCCCACCCCAAGGCTCACAGCCTCCCAGGCTCTCTGCTGGGCATCTAGTCTCTACTTGGTTACCACCAATGTCAAGGAACTCACTACCTCACTGTGGTAGCAATGCCTTCCCTGCAGAGACGTCAAGTGGCCTCCCTCTTCTTTTCTCAAGAGGATCTGAGATCTACGGGCTGACCTCAGAGAGGCAGGGCTGAGTATCTTCTACATGGCAGAGCTTCAGGTACTTTAAGTCAGAGACTGTGTCTCCCAGAGAAACCCCAGCTACCCCCACGGCAGATAAGCAGAGACGTTTATCTGATACTCTCGACAGGAAAGGACCAAGGTTGTATGTACCTCTCTCCCTCTTATTTCTAGATCATGTCTCTGGTTCCTGGGCTATACACATCAAGTGCTGCTTCTCCTCTCTCCTGTAACTGATGGGGAAGGTTCTCTGGAACAGACCTTAACCTCCTTCTAAGGTGGGTGGGCTCGGCCTGAACAAATGAGGCCTCACTGGAACAGGGGACATCTCAGTCCCTACATGTCCCCCACTGCAGTGGAAGTATCTGGGGATGTTCGGAGCAGGTCAGGCTGAGATTCTGGTAAAGGGAGCTCGGTCCGCCAGGGCTGTCTTTTTCAGAAAAGGCACGTTCTTTAGGCCTGTGGCCTCCGCTGGCATTTGAATGGAGACCCTGGCTACTTCTAACAGAAGACGGAGAGAGATTCTCTTTCTCCTTCCATTATTTCTCCCCTTGTCTCTTGTTCTCTATTCTTTCTTCTTCTCCTAGATAATCAGATTTGTATCCACATTAGGACCCTGACTGCTATGGAAGAACTCGAGGATCAGGAACCAGGAAGCTGAGTTCAGGTTCTGATTACAGCCCTCAGTTAACTCTGGGCAGGTCATTCACCTTTCTGAGGCTCACTTTCCCAACCAGCCACGCCTCCTCTGCAGAAATGCTGTGATTAAAATGAAAGTAAGCTGCATGGCCAAAAACACTACATAACTGAAAACAATTATTGGAATTTAAAACAAAACAAGAACAAAAACAGTCTGTACCCAATGCTCCCTTCTCCATGACCCCTCTGCCCTCCTGCAATTCCCCAGCTCTGGACCTAGAAATCCTCATTGGACAGTGCCTCCCTTCAAACCACCTTAGGGCCAAGGAGCTGGGGACCCACCCAAACCAGTGGGCCTAGCCAAAGCCAAGCTGAGTTTACCAGATGTGCAGCCCAACTGACTTAAGCTGCGTGGGGCGGGGGTGGGGGGGAGCCACTGCTTGATTATGTAAAATCCTTCTGGATTCAAAGCAGAAAATTCAGTAAGAAGGGCCCTCAGAGACCATCTGGTCCACCCCCTGCTTCATCTTCTGCTGAGGAAACTGCGGTCCAGAGACGGAAAGCAACTTGGCTGAGGTCACTCAGCAAGTACCTGGACAAGCAGGTGCTGGCCTAGGTGTCCTCAGACTCCAGTCTTTTGTGTCCTCCTCATTCCATACCATCATCCCTGGACCACCCCCTAGTCTGGTCAGACTGCTGCATCTAGAGCTGGGGGCTGGTTGGGCTCCACTCCTGGAAATAAGAGTGATACAAACTCATTTCAAACATTTCCTGGGTCCTCAGTGCACGTGAGGTGCTGGGGATGCCAGGATGAAGGAGGTCTTTTTTATAACGAACACACTGAGAATATCCTTACCTGGAGAACCCCACAATATTCCCCAGTAGTGGAACAGTGAGGCATGGTCAGGTCAGGTCTCAAACATCTCCCCATCAGCCCTCAGCTTGCTACCAAACACATCTCATGCCCAGGACCACAGGCACTGTCCATCTCAGAAACCCCAACACGGAGTAAGGGAGAGCAAATGCATGGGACCTGATGTAATGATGGCTAAACCTTCTGACACCAAGCGTGGCCTCGCAGCCTAGCAGTCAAAGGCCCAAGAAAGAAAGTTCCCTGTGTTGCTTTCCAAGAGGCCAAGGGTAGGGGTGGAAAGCTGGTCCCTCCCACCCACCCTGGAGGCCCCAACTAAACTGAGCACCAACTAGGGTTGGAATTCTGACCAAAAAATCGGGCTGGCTGCCCCAGGACAGTTCTGGCCAAAGATGATCAGTCAGGCCAGGCTGGTTCCTCAGTGCAAAGACCCTCCTGCCACTGAGCTGTCTGCCAGGCTGTGGTCAAGTAGGGGAAGAAGTTCAATTGTTGGCAGCAGATAAAACCTTCGATACCATCTCTATTTCCCTTCTAATATCACAGTGACCGCCTGCAAGATGAGCGAGGGGCAGAGCCGGCAATCAATAGCTAATACTCCTGCTGTGAGTTGGCCTGTTCTGGAAATGGGCAGCCACTACCTGCTTACAGAGAGACACCTTTTCCCCACAGCAGTGACCCAGCCCAAGTGGTTCAGCATCCTGACCAGGAAGGACTTAATCAGCCTTCAACTGACTGATGGAGAAAGGATGCCCCTTGGGGTGAGGTTGGGGGTGTAGCCAAAGTCAGCCAAGCAGCAGAGAGGTCAGGGCACACAGCCCCCTGCTCAATGATCCAGCAAGCTCTTGATGGTTCACCCCGATTAAGGATCAGAGAAGACCTCAAGTCAAGGGTTGAGGGGGGGCATCCAAAGCTACCTCTGTTGGATGGTACCTGGCAGCGGCTAAATAAGGACAGGAGTAAGTCTGGGCTTTCTGACCACACACCCCTGAAATGTCACAGGGGAGGGCATAAGAAATATGTCTGGAATTAGGCCTTAACCATGGGCCATTGTATCAAAGCAGGAAGCTGGGAGCTGCCCACATATCAAACAGACCTCTCCTTGCCTCAGACTCAGGCCAAAAAAGAAGTCAGCGGCCTATTTTAAAAAATCCAGCCAGCTGCTGTCCCCTTCTTCTTGCCACCGTGGCCTATGCTGGGCACCAGGATGCCAGCAAGCAACCTCAACAGGGATGCACGCAGACGGAGCATGTACCTGGGTGTACCTGTCCACCAGATGGGAAAGCCACTTCTGCAGTGTAGGAAGGGCAGCCACGGTGTATCTGGGGAGGATGTGAGCCTGGGAAAGAAGTTCCAACTGGAGAGAACACCGCGGCAAAGACCAACACCTGGCTGCAGAACACCGTCTGCAGTGGCTGGGAAGATGGCTGCCCCTTGGAACGGACAACCCTGTCAGGGAGCAGCCCTTCAGGCTCCTGTCTTCCCTGGGTCCACGCGTTTCCAAGGCTTTGAACATCTCACTCTCTCTTGTAAGTCTGGCCCCTCTTCCCAGAGCCTGTGACCTCATGCCAAGCCTCACCCCAGGCAATGCTTGGTCTGGCCTAATCTGGAGCCTATACACCCACTTCCATCCAGGAGACAAGGCCCCAGTTTGGGCCTTGCTAGGAATGCAGATAGACACATGACTGGCCATCCAATACTCTGAGCTTCCATCCCTAAACCCTTATCACTTTTCTCACTGCCACCTTGGTGGGCAACCTGCTGTTTTCTGTTGAAGAACAGCCACATTTCACTGATTTCCCTTCTTGGCTGGTAAGCAGCATGTCCTAACCCTCCTCTCCTGAGAGCGAACATCAGCCATAACATGAAACCTTGCAAAGCAGACATGTCTTCTAGGTCATCTCCCACCCAGGAAGGAAAACCTCTTAATACCCCCAAGAGGCACCTGCCCCATTTTTGCTCAGATTCCTCCAGTGCCAGGGAGCCTCCTGCGACCAGTGTCCCACTGCTGGATGCAGACAGTGTGAAATTCTGGCTGTCACCAAGCCACCGTCTCCTCAGACTGGGTCTCCCTGGCCCCAGTTTTGAATTCTTGGGCTTCACAGAGAAATCTCCACCTTCTTTTCTATATAACAGCTCTTTCTAGATTCTTATCTGGAAGATGGCATCACTGACTCAATGAACATGAGTTTGAGCGAACTCCAGGAGATAGGGGAGGACTGGGAAGCCTGGTGAGCTGTAGCCCCCGGGGTCACAAAGAGTAGGACAGGAAGTGCTGACTACACAACAACCAAGCTTTCAAAAGGTGTGCAAACCTCAGGCAGATTCTCAAACCCGACTGCAGAGAGGTTTGAAAGCATGTCACCCTCAAGAGCTTCCAGCCCCCACAGGCCAACTCCTCTCCAACGGCCTTTTCCAGTCTCAATAGGGTTTCAATCAAACGAGTCACCAGAGGGGATAAGTGATGCAAGAGGAGGCGCAGAGGGTGTGGCAGGTGTGCTCCCCCAGCAAATCAGAAAGCTGTCTCCCCACACCCCACACCCGAGAGCTCAACAAGGTGTCTTCTGGAGAAGACCTGGCTCTCAACCCACATGAGCGTGGCTCCTGCCTTTGGCGGGCAGAGCATGGGCACAGATGCTTGTGGGACGCCTTCTGTGATCACACTCGGAAAAAATCAAGCGGTTAACCAGAGGGAAAGGATTCCCAGACCTGCCAGGATGGTGGGTTTTTTCGGTTTTTTAGATTACGCCTAAGGTTTGTAGTTTGGACAGGCAAAGTAAACAGTGACAATGACAGCAGCAACAAGACAGAAACAAAGAACAGTTTACTCGTTTTGTTTAAAAAAAAAAAAGAAAAAAAAAGCCTTTTGTTAAAAGGCAGCTCTGCATGGGCCTTGGAAGCAGCCCCACCGCCTCCCGACCAGGGGCGGGCTGCGTCGTGAGCGCGAAGCTGGTGCGAAGAAAACAAACTCCGGCAGAAGTGACACAGCGCGTGCAGGAGGTGTCTGCTCTCCAGCTTTCTTTGCTCCCCTCCTCGCTTTTTGGAAGGGGTGGCGAGAGGGATGGGAAGGGAAGGGTTTGAACCAGCATGAAGCAACTGTATTTAGACCATGGCAAACTGCGCTGCTACTGACTTCTCTCTCTCTCCCTCCCTCCCGCCTGCCTGGGGGCCTGGCCTGGAGTGGAAGGAGCACAGGGCAGAGAGCCCAGCACGTACCTGAAAGAAACCCGGAGGGATGGGGCCTCCCGGCATGCCATCGTTGGGGGGAATGTTGCCAAGCACGGGGCTCGGGGCGGCTGCTGCACTCTGCGGAGACAGGAGGGTGGAAAGTAAGAGGCTGCACCCACGTAGATAGACAGGGAGTTCTCACTCCCAGCCCCCTCCATGCTCTCCACCCACGTCCTCCAAAGACTCCCCCCCCATCCACCCAAAACACCACCACCTTTCCAGGATTGTCACTCAGTGGGTAAGAGATGAGCTCTCTGAGACTAGGTTTCCTCATCACCAAACCCCACGGACAGAGGAGCCTGGTGGCTACGGTCCATGGGGTTGCAGACGGACATGACTGAGCCACTAAACCAACACCACCACCACCAGGACAATGCCCACCACTGGCGCACACACCCTGCCAAGCAGCAGAGCTGTCAGGGAGCCCCGCCTCCCCACTCAGTCGCTTTAGTTCTGAAGAAGCCTCCGCAGGGCAGGCGAGGTGCCTCATGAATGGGGGTGCCCTCGCCAAGGCGCCGGCATGCTGTACAGAGCAGAAGATCAGTGAACATCCACGGCTTAGTGAATCTACAGACAGACCAGCTGGGAGAGGCCCAGGAGATGGGAGAGGCGGGCAGGCATGTCACCGGCCCCGTCGGGGTCCTGGGTGCCACAGAGGAGGTGGGCTGCACTGTCATTACTCTTTCTCTCAAATGCTGCTCTTCCGGCATTCACCTGGTACATCTGCCTCAACAAATGCGTCCCAGGGGTGAACAGACGTTGCTCTCCCCAGCCTGGCCTCCTTCCAGACAATCTGTGTCCCACCTGTTCACATGGCCGGCGTGTCTGTGCCTGGCCCCGTGCTTGCACGGGCGGCTGAAGCTGAGAGAGAAGCCTCCGGGCCTGACCGCCCACCTGGGCCCACGCTCTGCTCCCCGCCACACTCCACACCTCCCAGGGGCTGCTCCCGCAGGAAGCCCAGACCCAACCTCAAGGTCCCCAAACCCCAGCAGGACTGAGCCTCTGAAACACAATGGCCAACTGTCCCCCCGGGGTCTCTGACTGGTCCTCTGGGATGACAGTGAGCCCCTCAGGATCAAGAAACAGAACACTCATCTGTTACGATTGCAGCCTGCCGTCACCACTTCTGAGAAGTCACTTCTCCTGCCCCTTCCTCAGCCACAAAACAGGACCCAGAACTCCTAACTCCCAGGGAAGGGGATGAGGGACTGTATGAATCCCCCAAACACACCACATGCAGCAAGAAAACAGACAGCCCTGGAAACCAATACACCGGGGTTCAAACACTGTTTGCCTGTACTAGCAAGGGGTGACCGTGGCAAACCACTCAGCTTTCTTTCTGCACTAGGTTCAAATCACCGCATTCCTACCTGCTCCTAAGCGTTGGGGAAGATTAAGCAATGGGATGGTCTGCGCTTTGTAACCCAGGGAAGCTGGTCATCTGGAAATAAGGAGGACTCGGGAGGCCCAAAGTGGCTGTTTCAACAGACCCCAGGTAAAAGGGAATAGCGTGGGATGGGCCTGGCTTCTCTGGCCCAACATTCCAAAATGATTCGGTGTACAGAAAAGCAAACTTCTCTGTAAAGAGAGTCTGCCAACTATCCTGTAATGTGTTAAAATACCCCCCAAATATCAGGTTCTGCCTTTCCTACCTCCTTAGGTTGGAGGAGAAGCCAGCCCTGGTTGAGCTCCCCGCCCCGGTATTATCTAGGATGAGAGCTGCCTGGGGGAATACGCCAGGTTATCCATTAGCTGCACTGTTTGTGGTTGGTTGGTCTGCGAAAATGCAACTTTTCATGATTTACAGCCAACAATTACTCCACAGCAGCAACAGAAAAAAAATTTTTTTTTAATTTTAAATGGGGTGAGGTAAACATCCTCCTATACTTTCTTCAAGTTCTTTCACAGACTGGTTTTACACTTAACTCTTTAATCATTCAGCAACTTATTTTGGTAAAGAACATAGATTTTACTCCTCAAATGATCAACTGGCTTGGTACAAGTTTTCCAGTCATTTGAAATCAGAGACAAAAATTCTTACAAAGGCATGGGATGGTTTCTGAGCTTTTAAAAAATTCTGTCCTAATTCTGTCCATTCTAATGATCAGAGTTTTACAATGTATTTTATTATCTTCTGCAATTCTTTAGTGGAAGTTTTCTTATTTATTTTTATCTACTTATCCCACCAAACTTCTATCATTTATACAAGTCATCTTCCTACCAAAATAAAAAAATTCCTGTATACATATAAATAAAATTTGGAGGAAAACTGACACCTTACCAAAACAGAGGTACCCTCTTAGGAGGTGACCTTTCTCAAATTACTCCTATTTCTGTTCAAGTCCACCAGTCAAGCAAGGAGGGTGGGCCAATGATGCTGATCAGAAAGGCAGTCAAGGGCAAGTGATACATTTGGGATAACCAAAACCCTCTCTTGCCCTGATTAAATGCTTTATTCAATAAATGTGACACTGACTTGTTCTCAGGGTGAAGATGGAAAAGATGGCGCTCCTGATGACAGTGTGAGAAAGACGGAGCTGATGGCCCAGCCCTGGGCTGGGTGGATGGCAGGGGCTGTCTGGCCTGATGCGCAGAACAAGCCAGGTACTGTCACACCATCTCTCCCTGAACCCCCAGGCGGCCTTCCAAGGCAGACACAAGCACCCTTACATTACAGATGAGAAAACAAGTGTCTGTGTGGAGAGCAGACTGAAGGTGGCCTTTTCCCACTTATCCCCTCAGAGAGTCCAGATCTACTCTTCCTCAGCCTTCAGCTCAGAAACAATGAATGGCTTTTAAAGAAAGATCTGGAAAGCTTCAGCAACTTGGTTCTTTAAATTAGCATTATTCATTTAATATAAAACACTTTCCTATTATAGGACACAGCAGAGTAAAAAGAAAATTAGTCACTGTTTTTTGTTAAATAATATCGTAAGCACTTCTCTCATTAAATGGTCAAAGAAAACATGATTTTTTAATGAGACTGATATCATTATTCAACTAATTTAATTAACAGGGCATTATATCAGTGTTTGCTAACTTAGTTACAAAATGATATCTCTTTGATCTCTTTGGTATTTTAACTTAATCTTTTGGATCACTAACCTTTTAAAATGGTTTACACTGGCCATTTAGTAAAACAAATGACAAATCATTCATGCCGTTTGCTATTTAGGTATTTGATGTCTTTCCTTAGTGATATACATGACCTCTTTATATATTAAGGATATAACATACAGATATATTATCATTTAAAAGAAAAAAAAAAAACTTTAAAGGAATACTTGAACCAGGTGCATGACTTACAAGCCTCCCCTGACACCAAAATCTCTTTTTCCTACAAGATCAGAAATCCACGGTCCTTTGAATGTTAGGGATGGAAAATCCACAGTTCTAGTAGGGGGATGGTATAATTCTTTGACATCTGGGTGGAAATGGACATTTGCTACCCTCCAGTGGAAGGAAGGCCATGTTAGTGGTGGCTCAGGTGTCAGGAAGCTGGGGTGATAACTTATCCTTTATAGGCTCTTTCAGCTGCAAAATTAAGTAGCTCTGCAGTGTTTAACTCTGTCTTAAAGTATGACAGTTACTGCCATTCTTTGATTTTGAGGCAAACATGAACTTATAATAGAAAACTTTCAAAAGGGCAGAAAAGGACAAAAAAGAAAATGAAAGCAGCATCCAGTGTCACAGAGAGACAAGAGGGTTAAGAAATCATTCTTGCACATGAAACCCAATCCAAGGGACCTCACCCCACATCTATCAACGTGATGATGCCCTCACCCCCACACCTCAACAGCACCTTTACCTATCTCTAAGACCCAGCACAATGTGAGGCATACAGCAGGTGTTCAATAAACAATTACAACTTTTATTGTTCAAAGACCTGCTTAAACCTGACCATCTGGAGCCAGGCCTTTCCGGACTGCTAGGAATCGGCCTCTCCCTGTGGTTTCCAACTTGGAGTTAGAACTCCATTAAAGCACTCAGCAAAGTGCCTCATGTGAGTTTTCTCTAAAAACACAAAACCCAAACCAAAACCCCCTGACATTCACAGAGGCCGACAGCACGTTGGAGCTGTAGTACATGCCCAGGAACTCTTCCACCGGTGTAGGGGAGGAAGGAGTCAGGAGCCAGAGACCTCCCGCCTGGGCTCGGGTAAGTCCCTGCTCGCCCTGGGCCTCTGTTGCACCAGATGTCAAATGATGGAGTTAGAGAAGACGACCTCTGGAGCTCTTCTTCCAAAGTGCTCTCCCAACCCAGTCCGTACACCTAGCGAGGCAGGGACTAGAAAGAGCAGCTCCTAAATTTTGGGAAGGAAGACCCTAAATTTTAACTCTTCCCCATTCATTACAGAAAGAACTCTTAGGACTTCCAGTGCAGTGGTGGTGCAGTGGTTAAGAATCTGCCTGCCAGTGCTGGGAACACAGGTTCCATCCCTGGTCTGGGAAGATCCCACAAGCCACAGGGCAACAAAGCCATCAAAGTCCAAGCTCTGGAGCCTGTGCTCCTCAACAAGAGAAGCCATCACAATGAGAAGCAACTAGACAGTAGCCCCGGCTCGCTGCAACTAGAGAAAGCCTGTGCACAACAACGAAGACCCACCTGAGACTAAATGAGCATTTTAAAAACAAGAGTTAGATCAAAAAAAGAACTCTTAGAGGTTAAAACTTTACCATCACCTACAAACCTATTGATTATCAAAGACGGGAGATAACAGCTAGCTCAAGACACCTGGGCTCTCCCCTGCACCAACCGCAACGCCCAACAGCCCCCCTCGCCAACCTTTATCCATATATGCATACATGCATATGGACTAAAAAAGGCAGAATCAAACTGGGCACGCAGTTTGGCAACTCATGCTTCTTTTTTTTAACTAACTAAAAATTCTTTTCCAAATAGAAAACAGGCCTTGCAGTGAGTGGTGTGGCCCACTGCAGCCAGCTGCCTCCTCCAAGCCTCCGGGATCTAGTCCACTTGGAAAGCCTGAGGTGCCTTCAGACATCTGCCTGAAGCTGTAAAAGTTCCCCTCCCTGCGAAGTACTTTATTTTTGTTCACAGCCAGGGAGCCTTCCAAG